TTAGATTAAACCCAGAATTGCCTGCCGTTTGACTTGTTTTACACAAGAGAAAAAAACTCTTGAATATTTAAAGGAGGCCTTTTTTTTTAACTAACCAAGCACGATGTTTATCTGATGAAAACATTCTACTACATGTTCTCCTGGAGCTCACTCTACCCTCAGAACTGTACTAAGCTATGATTAGTTATTTCATAACTATAACTATTATTAGTTATAATTAGTTATTATTTCAATGATTTTGATGGTGAACCACAGTAAGAATTTACTTTATATCACAATCCAGTATTCACATGTACATTTTTTTCTTATATATAATGGAAAAAATCTTTTAAGAAATAGTATCTTATCTTTTATCTTTGCTGTATGTGCAATATATACTCAGTGTATCCAATGTATCTATTCATTTTATGTGATACAGAGTTGTGTGAAAACAGAGTTGGATTAATCATGCCAAATAGAACACAAAGAGGATATAGGAGGAAAAATAATGCGAATCCTCATTTAAACAAAGCAATCTGTCTGTATATACACAAAACAAATGAGAAAGAATCTAGCAATTTAATAATTGCCATATGCCTGACAGTATCCTAAGTGATTTGCATAGGTTGAACCCATTTGATTTTTTAAAAAATGCTGTGAGTTAAAATTGTCTGTATTTAGTAGACAGCTATAGTTATTTGAAGTGAAAAGACTATACCATAAATAATGTAGTTAATTGGTCCTAGAGCCAGGATTCAAACTCGTTTGTCTGCCAACTGCATTACTTTTCATATATTCAATTCTATTGAAGTATGGGTTTTTCTTACTCTGATATGTTTGTGTGGGTTTTGTTTGTTTGTTGTGGTTTTATTTTGGTTTGCTTGTTTTCTGTTAACAGTGCTGTAACATTGTTTCATTTTCACTCAATACCTTTGGAATTTTGAGAACTGAAGAAAAGAGTAAAGAAAATAAAGGAAAATTATTTTGTTCACTTTTGCTCATGAGTACCTCTGAAATATGGTCATTGATGGGCCAGTTCAGAAACAGTTCAAGTTCAGTACATTCATTTAACATCTTAGAAATAGCCATGTTTTTTCTTGCATGTTCCTGAGCATTCCTATGGGATTTCATTGATCAGAACTTGATTTTATTTCTTTTTCTTGCTCTTTACAAGATCCTTTTTGAAGCTATGAGGACTAAGTACCAAATCAAATTGTTGCTGAATTGTGCATTGAAATCATAAAAGACATTAATACAAATCCTGGTTCTAAATAAAAACGTTACCTTATGGAAATTATTTAGCTTCAGTTTCCTCACCTGCAAGATGGTGATTTAAGCATCAACTTCACAATGTTGGTTTTAGGCTTATATATCTAAAGTAAAATAGGGGAAGGAATATGACAAGGCTGTATAGTAACAATATACTTATTTAACTTATATGCAGAATACATCATGCAAAATACCAGGCTGGCTTGAAACACAAGCTGAAATCAATTTGTGAGGAGAAATATCAACAACCTCCGATATGCAGATGACACCACTCTAATGGCAGAAAGCGAAAAAGAACTAAAGAACCTCTTCATGAGGGTGAAAGAAGAGAGTGAAAAAACTGGCGTAAAGTTCTCAACATTTAGGAAACTAAGATTATAACATCCAGTCCCATCAGTCCATAGCAAATGAAAGGAGAAAAGTTGAAAGCAGTGACATATTTTCTTTCCTTGGACTCCAAAATTACTGTGGACAGTGACTGCAGCCATGAAATTAAAAGACGTTTGCTCCCTGGAAGAAAGCTATGACAAACCTAGACAGCATATTAAAAAGCAGAGCCATCACTTTGCCTACAAAAGTCCATATAGTCAAAGCTATAATTTTTCCAATAGTCATGTATAGATGTGAGAGTTAGACCATAAAGAATGCTGCGAGCCCAAGAATCGATGCTGTGAAATTGTGATGTTGGAGAAGACTCTTGAGAGTCCCTTGGACTGTAAAGAGATCACACCAGTCAATTCTAAAGGAAATCAACCCTGAATATTCACTGGAAGGAACTGATGCTGAAGCTGAAACTCCAGTACCTTGGCCACCTGATGTGAAGAGCCGGCTCATTAGAAAAGACCCTGATGCTGGGAAGGATTGAAGGCAAAAGGAGAAGAGGGCGGCAGAAGATGAGATGGTTAGATAGCATCACTAGCTCCATGGATATGAATTTGAGCAAACTCTGGGAGGTGGTGAAGGACAGGGAAGCCTGGTGTGCTGCAGTCCTTGGGGTTGCAAAGTCAGACACGACTTAGCAACTGAACAACAACAGCAACAAAATATCTAAAACAGTAAATATAGACTGAATGTTAGTTGTATTAAGTGTTCAAGCTTCAGGTCACAGAGACCTAGTTCAGTATCTGCCACCTTCATTACTACCTGAGTAAATTGGCAATGTTATTTAACCTAGCTGTAAACCTTTCTTTTCTTTCTATAAACATTAAAAATACTCCTTTTGTGATAGCTGTGAGATTATAAAAGATAATTTATTTGAATTGTTTATCACAAAGCATGTTACATTTAAGCACTCAAATGTTAGCACTTGCCATCATTCCTCAGTTGATTAATAATTAGTTCATATGTGAAATAGATGCTGCTAAATTTTAGTGGACAGGCTTTTAGAATCCTGTTAGGAAGAACAATTATTGCAATAAGTCTTGCAATTTGGAGAATTATCAAACTCCACCTAACTGTAAATATCTACATACAAAATCCTGCAGTGCTAGTTCTGGGGGACTTCTGACTGCCTTCAAAGAAAAAAAGATCTAAAATGTTTAAAGCGTGTGCAGACTTTTGAAGTATATTTCTTTGTTATGATATTTGAATAATTGTTTAGAAAATATGCTCAATATAATACGGAAAACATTTTTTTCCCCCACCACTTGACTTAATGTGTTTTCAGTTGTGTACTAATTCTTAGTTACATGGGAAACAAAGATGAAGAATTTCATCTGGTATATAAAGTATTCTTTTCTGTTTTTGGAGATTTCTCCTTGTGACATCTTTAATATAAGACACTTTAATGTTCATTTTATGAACATTAGATGATTTTTTAAATTGCAACAACTTCAAAAGAATACACTTATTTCTCAAGATTAATCTGTGTTTCTGGTATTACACATACAGGCACATGAGAAATGAATCAACATTAGGATTTTGCAATTGTTTGATACACAACAAATCTGGTTAATAAAATCTGTTGCTTTCCCTTTCTCAATTTAATAAATACCCTGTTTGAATAATTCTCCTACCTTAAAGCCACTGAACAATTCCATTTATGTGGCACATTTATCTAAGTTTCCTATCTAGATGGCTTCTTTCTGCTGGTACCTTATATTCAGTCTATAACCACTAATATTACAATAGGCAAAATTGAAATTAATTTTAAAATGTGGAAAACCTTTATCAGAAAGAGCTCACGGGGCTAATTAAGAATTAATAGGAGTCCTCTTGTCATTTTATTTGCTGTAGGCCCAGGAAGTTAGAGTAGTCTCAGCAGCTTTGCAAAGCAACTACTGGCTTGATTGAGATTTAAGACATGGATGATTGGTCAGTTTATATCCTGCAAGGCAAATTTACTTTTGGTGAAGTGGTCTTCATGAATCCAAAGATAATCAGCCACCATATCCATACAGTTATATATTTATTCCTTGCTCAAATTCTCATTATTGCTTTGAAATCCATTCATCCTTGTTGTTCACCATTTGATCTCATTGATCTAAAAGTATCAGCTAATTAAATGACTCAGAGCTATCATTTTGAAATAACTAACAGAAGTATAATTTGGACACATTAATATACAATCTTATTCATGCAACTAGATTTTATAATACAGTATTAGATTTTATAATACAATATTGGAAATAATGGCTAGTAATTGCAAAATTACTTATCTGTTTTCAGATTAAAAAACAATGTCCAAAATACCACTGCTTTGATACCTGCCAGATTCATTGATAAATATAAATCAATCATCAACAAATTTTCTGTCAGTATATCTTATTTTAGAGCCCAAAGTTGAAAGTTCTGGCTAGAGTCATATGAAACTTAAAACACAAAATACTCTTTGCATTGGGATTTTAAGGCTTCATTTCAAAGATATCAACTAGAAAGCTCTTTGCAAAAAGGCATCATTTACTAATTATTTTTTCTCATCTTGAGGGCAGATTTAAATTTTAAGACTTGTGCATACATCTTCATTTGGTATTTTTATATTCCAAAATTTTCTGCAATAATACTTCTCAGTCAAGTGGAAACTTTTCCTTGTACTAAAAACTTAATTTCTTAAACAAATATTCTATAGCAAGGAAGTCACTGAATTCTTTAAACCGTTACCCATCTATGAGTATATTTTGAACTTTTCATTCCACATTGTATGTATTATTTCTACTATTACATCTAAAACCTTTTTATCAGATTTGAGTAAATTAATGCCAAGTTGGAGCTTCCTTCTCTCTTGGTCCTCTTCCTACATTCCCATTATCACCTTTCCTCAACTTTTCATTTAAAACAAAAATTTATGGAACCCAGACAAAGGATCAGTAGTATGCTTTGTTCAGGAGCTACAAACATGAGGATGAAACAGCCTGTGCTTCTCAAATCCTTCACAGATTAGCATCAAAAGCTATGCAAATATTAGTAACATCAAAGAAATATGACAAGTTTTATGATAGAAGAGTAATCATGGGTGAATATGACAGAGAAATTATCATATTTGCCTAATGAATAAAGGAAGACATCCAGATGCTACAATATTTTCAAAAGTGCCTTGAATTGAGCCAGATTTTTATGATCGAAGAAGGTAGGTAGGACTGTTCATATATAAGTATGATCTGTAATGGTAAAATGCAATGTGTTTAACTTAGGACTTAAGGCTAGGGGATCATAATGTACTACTTTATAAAACTGTGGAACTTGAATGGATATGAGAATAACTTTATTTTGGCTAATGGGTTTGAATAACTTTCTCCTTCTGAATTTTACTATAGAAAGTGCTGCAGTAAATGGGGTGAAGGAATGATATGACCAGTGAAGATCAAAGAAGAGTATCAGATTTGTCTGTAACAATCTGTTATTCCCAGTGGAAATTATTTTAGTAAGTAATAACAGATTTTGCAAAATTATAAATTTGAAAACAATCTCTGAAAGCTGTTTATCAAGATAGTCAAGATGGTTAATTCTGGAAGGTAAAAATGTGAGCATCTAAAATTATTCTGCCTTGAACTATTTTGATATTTGAGAAGTCATCTAAAATTTTTAAAAAATGACCACTTCCAAAGAGAATCTGTTTAATCAGAAGTTTGAATGACAGGCTAATTAATTTAGGAATAAGGGCAATGGGGAGTGGTATAGCCAAAATGAGTTAAAGGGGTCAAAAAGTATAAATTTTCAGTTACAAAATAAGTCATAGTGATATAATGTGTAACACAATAGTAATAGTTAACAGTAACTTACTGTATATAAAAAGTTGCTGAGAGAGTAGCTCTTGAAAGTTCTCATCAAAAGAAAAAAATTGTAACTAGGGTGATATTGTTAACTAGATTCATTGTGGTGGTCATTTTGCTATATTTCCAAATATTTATTTATTACCTTAATATTGTAAGTCATATTGCAATTAAAAATGAGGGCAGAAATACCAGATAAGAGATGAAAGCCGTACTCCAATAAAAGGTAACATGTTTCTGAATGAAAGGAATGACGGTAGAAGACTGAGTTTATAGACTCACTACTGTATGAAATAGAAGAAACATCCTGAAAATACAGTTGATTACAGAGAGCTGGAGATATTACCTCATGTAGGTAGAGAGATATTTTTGTAACTAAATATGATTTGTAATTAAAGTTTTTATAGTGTCTAAGTGAAGACTAATATAAAATATGTGCAATAGATGACAATTCTAAATTAACTCCTATATTCTTGAAATAGTCAATAAAAGTGTTTAAAACACAGATAATGTGTAGAAGGTTTAAAGCCAAGAGCTAAGAGGAATCAAGTCACCTTTTTGGAGCATAAAATGAGAGGCATTAATTGACTGTGAGGGCCTGGAAAGCAGAAAGATTTAGAAAATCATTCTCAAGGCATACAGTATATTCAAGACATGCGGGTGCCTGTGAAGGTTTGAGAAATGTAACCTGTGTCTCTCTTGACTTTGAAGAGTGCTCTGAACCTGCTGCGTCACGTCCTTGTGTTACGTGTGTGTTACGGAGCCCAGCTGTGACTCTGCTCCTTGTCTCCAGTCTTCTCTCGTCCCTCTTTTGAGAGCTCAGGCAAACCTCAGAGAAAGACTACTCATTAATCCATAAGTGGGCACCAGAATGGAAGGATAGATTTAAAAACTTTCTACCTAGATCAGTTAGAAGCACATAGAATATATTGCTGCTGTTGTCGCCCAGTCAGGTCCAACTCTTTATGAACCCATGGACTGCAACACACCAGGCCTCCCTGTCCCTCACCATCTCCCAAAGTTTGCCCAAGTTCCGTTGCATTGGTAATGCCATCCAGCCATCTCATCCTCTGATGCCCTCTTCTTCTTCTGCCCTCAATCTTTCCCAGCATCAGGGACTTTTCCAATGAGTCATCTGTTCACATCAGGTGACCAGAATACTGGAGCTTCAGCTTCAGCATCAGTCCTTCCAATGAGTATTCAGGGTTGATTTCTTTTAAGAGTGACTGGTTTGATCTCCTCGCTCCAGCACTACAGTTTGAAGGCACCAGTTTTTTGGCGCTCTGTCTTCTTTATGGTCCAGCTCGCACAACCATACTTGACCACTGGGAACATCATAGCCTTGACTATATAGACTATTGTCGGAAGAGTGATATTTCTGCCTTTCAACACACTGTCTAGGTTTGTCATGGCTTTTCTGCCAAGAAGCAATCGTCTTCTGATTTCATGGCTGCAGTCACCATCTGCAGTGATTTTAGAGCCCAAGAAGAGGAAATCTGTCACTGTTTCTACCTTTTCCCTTTCTCTTTGTCATGAAGTAATGGGGCCAGATGCCATGATCTTAGTTTTTTTAGTATTTAGTTTTAAGCTAGCTTTTTTATTTTTCTCCTTCACTCTCATCGACGTTCTTTAGTTCCTCTTCGCTTTCCGCCATTAAAGTGGTATTATATGCATATCTGAAGTTATTGATGTTTCCCCTGCCCGCATCTTGATTCCAGCTTGTAACTCATCCATCCTGGCATTTCTCATGATGTGCTCAGCATATAGTTTAAATAAACAGGGTGACACTAGACATCCCCTTTTCAACAACAAGGCAGTGGTCTGTGAAGGGGATATAATATATTGGATAAATTTAAATCTTAGTTTAAAGAATAAGAGAAGCAGTATTATGCATTGGGTCCAAGAGTACAGAGATAAAGATGGGAGAAGATGGATCAGGATTCTAGATGGGTATATTGAGGGTACAGAGCAACAAATCAGGATAGAGTCACTGGATTCAAGATGTAGGTTATAAATGACACCAAGGTACTGTGAAAGCATTTTCACTGGGTGATAGTTGCATCTGTAAGACTGATTGTTGTTCTTATCTTATGTAAAAGGGAAGTGAGACTCAAAAGATTAATTAAGTGTCTCACCTAATTTTACATGAATATGCCCATAAGTGGCAGGGCTATTATTCAAATCAAATCTTGCTGACTTTGAGGTCCACATTTTTTGCCTATACCATACTGACCTGTGAAATGAACTACTTCCTGCTAAAAATGTCAGAGCTATCAGCGATTGCTGGCCTCAATGTGAATGAGGGCTCCCAAAAGGGAACAGTGCCTGGAATCCAGCAGATGCTGCCACCCCCACCAAGGTGATTGTAGAGGAGCTTGAGGGGGATGCAAGAAGCAGCCATCTACCACATCTGTCACACCTTATGTTGACAGGAAATGGGATTTAGCCTTGGGGGCTCAGTGGTAAAAACTGAGCCTGCCTTGCAGGAGACAAAGGAGACCAGGTTTGATCCCTGGGTCAGGAAGACTCCCCGGAGGTGGGCATGGCAGTCCCCTCCAGTATTCTTGCCTGGAGAATCCCACGAGGAGCCTGGCGGACCACAGTCTGTAGCTCACAAAAAGTTGGACACAACTGAGCACTTGGCAGGCATGCACAGCTGAGGTGCATAAGATGAATCCCCGAGGCGTGCATCTTCCCATGCATAGAAGAACTAAATTCCTTAGCTTGATATCTGATTTTCCTTACTACTTAACCATAGTCTTTGATGTTCCAGCTGCCTGCCCCCTTTGTTGCAAACATAAATAGCCTGACTCCCTCTTGCCTCCTTGGAGCAGATATTCTTAGGGCCATTGATATGCTGCCTCCTGGAGCTCAGAGTCCTTAACATTCCCACCAAATATAACAACTCTCTATTAGCAATTTGTGACTAATATTTTTTTAGTTGACCTTAAGACATTTTTAAGGACTTTTAAAATATATTCAGGTGTGCTTTTTGGAAGGATGCTTTTGGCATAGTTTACTGGTAAAGTGTATGTTACAGACCTTTTCTCCTGCCTAAATAATCTCATTTTTTTATGTGTTATGCATTCCAGCTTCCTCAAGCACCTAGTTGTTCTTCCTGTTTACCTTTCAGTTTGACAATAGCATGGTGTATTAACCTGTTTTCTTTAAGAAAACAAGATAAAATGTGGAAGAATTTTATTAGGGAAGCTCCTGTTTGAAAGGAAATGAGGGGAGGGCAGTCACAAAAGACAGGGAGGGTAAGTAAACTGTGTTGTAAATTGAAGCCTGTGGCAAGCAGAAAGGGAGGGAAGGTTGGGTAGATTTGTTTTAGGCTGCAGTACAGTTCAATAAAGTTTGGACAAGGTCAAGATTCTTCAAAGAGTTCCAAATCTTCCAGGCATGGGCTGCCTTAGTAGCCCCGCCACACTATCATTGGTGGGGAGCAGCTCCTGGGAAAGGATAATCTTGGCAAAAACATTGCAGCAAATTTCAGATTGCAGTAGGCTGTTAATCTATCTATAGTGTTGTACCCACGCATTCTGGGAAACAAACTCACTCAGAAGGACAATGCAGATAGTGGAGTGCAGTTTATTACACCGGCGGGCCCAAGGCAGAGTTTCCTTTTGGCCAAGGACCCCGACCAGGTTTTGTGAAAACCTTATATACACTAAGTATACGTGCTCAAACCCACCTCCCCCAATTCCCTGAAACTAGTCTGAACAAAGGAAAAGGAAGATACAATCAACGTTAACCTGTGATTCATATGCCTTAAGCCTCGGTAGTTAACAGTGGACAATTATCAGTAGGCCTGTGGTCATACCCCAATAAGCATAATAGAATGTATGACATTATTCGGTTACACAGATAATTAGGGTATTCTTTTAGGCGATAGAGAGTCTAGATACGAGCCCTGGGGCTCTTCCTTCTGGGGGCCTGGTTTTCCAGTTGGTATGTTGTTTCCATAGATACTGGGCATAGAGCTCAAAGTCCACAGTCCAGCCAAACATGGAGTCCTGTTTTCAAGATGGAACCTGTTCTGTCTGTTTCCGCCTTCAATAGGTTTGGATCTGCAAGCTGCATTCTCATGGTTGCCAAAGATGACTTCCAAAGCTTTATGAAAATTTAGAAAGTTATCAGACACTATCTACCCTATAAATTAAGGGATATTTGTTGTTGTTCATCACTCAGTTGTGTCCAACTCTTTGTGACCCCATGGAATGCAGCACGCCAGGCTTCTCCATCCTTCACCATCTTCCAAAGTTTGCTCAAACTCATGTCCGTTGAGTCGGTGATTGTCTTCCAACCATCTTATCCTCTGTCATCCCCTTCTCCTCCTGCCTTCAGTCTTTCCCAGCATCAGGGTCTTTTTCAGTGAGCCTATTCTTTGCATCAGTGGGCTAAAGTATTGGAGCTTCAGCTTTAGTATAAGTCCTTCCAATGAATATTCAGCACTGATTTCTTTTAGGTGGACTGGTTGGATTTCCTTGCAGTCCAAGGGACTCTCAAGAGTCTCCTCTAGCACCACAGTTTAAAAGCATCAAGTTTTCGGTGCTCAGCCTTTTTTATTGTCCAGCTCTCACATCTGTACATGACTACTGGGAAAACCATGGCTTTGACTGTGGGCAAAGTAATGTATCTTCTTTTTTAT